AAATTCTGGGATGTGGGTCATAGAGGATCCTGCTGTGATTTATGTCGGAGAGTGTTTTGCCTATGTTCTCCTCTAGGAGTTTTATAGTTTCTGGTCTTACATTTAGATCTTTAATCCATTTTGAGTTTATTTTTGTGTATGGTGTTAGAAAGTGTTCTTAAATAAAATCACAGTGGATTTTATTTAAAATCACACTGAAGGAAATGGCAGCTTTCCTGGGCAGCCAGTTCCGGGGTAAAGGGCGGCCCACCTGGCCAGGGTCCACTGGAGACTCTGGACTGTCAGGGTCACAGCCCTGGCCTGACTACAGCTTGGATGGCCAGGACCGTATTATAGAATTTTATTTTTGAAGACAAACAAAACAAATCAAAGCAAAAATAATTTTTGTCACATCCTCTTGAACACAGTCTACACTCATATTCACTCATTTGTGAATATATGTGAATAAAAACAGGTGCACACAGAAGTCCATTTTTTGACAGGAAAAAAAAAGATAAAGGGTAATTAATACTCAGAGGAAAATGAGTAGATGATACCTGAAAATATAGACTAATGATGGAATGAGGAATAGGATGAGAAAGTTCAATGGATAGTAAGAATGAATGCATGAAATCTGGTTGGTATCAGTCACAAAGTCTATATCCAGTCACTGACTGCTTCAGGGAAGACTTTGAAGCCGATGGCTGTGACTTCCAACCCATCTACGCTTGATACGGCTTTCAAGAGTTTTTTGGGGGTTTTGTTGTTTTAAATTCCCAGTATGTGAAGTAGTGACACTAAAATCTTCTCTTCTGTCAGTTATTGGGGGTTGCTTGAGTTAGCTCATCGCAGATTGGAAATCATAAACTTTTGAATCCTGGGCTCAAATCCCAGCTTTCTTCCCTACTGGAAATCTCTCCACATTTCAGTCACCTTATTAGTTATTGCCAAGGTGACAGTAGGTGGCTAATACTATCCACCTCATGAGACGTGTGAGAAGCAGAACAGCTTAAAGAAAACAAAAACCTGGCTCACAGAACTGAGGGTGCTTGGGAGTAATTATTAATTTAAAGATGATCAATACCGAGATATGAGAGAACACTATGAAATGACTCAGCAGGCCTTGAATTTACTTTTTAACTTAGAAAAATAAATAGATAAAAGAGTACAGAAAGAACAAGGAACAAGTGCTTTCTTGATAAGATGGCCTCAAACACTATGCTCTGGTCTGTGAAGAATAATTTTTTTTTTTCTTTCAGAAGCATCTCTTAAATACTTACAGTGTTCTTCTTTTCTTATGCACACATATCAATGGGAAATTCATACGTCGAAAAACGGGCTCCTTTGTGAAACCAAGAGTCAAACTTTTCACTCCAGTAAATGAGTGCTCAGAGGATGACCTTAGATTCACCACAGGCAGAGGAAGATAACTGAAACATGTAAGTATAGAAATAATCTATTTTTAGGTTCTACATGCCTTAGCATAATACACATGTTACTTTCTAGAATTTATCATGCTAACAAAATCACTTTTATGGAACTGACTCCTATGTGATCTGTTGGTCCTATTTGAATATTATTGTGAAATACTGGATAGTCACTTAACATTGCTAAGCATTAGTATGAAACTTGGGAATAATAATATCTATTTCACAGTGTTATTGTGGATATTAAATAAAATAATTGTCAAAATATTAAGCATATTGTTTGAAATGGAGTAGGCAGTGTTCATAGTGTTAGAAAATGAGACTTAGAAGCCTAATGTCCTGTTAGCTTGTGATCGGTTGCTCATTCGTATCTGACTCTTTGTGACCCATGGACTGTAGCCCACCAGGCTCCTCTGTTCATGGGATTTCCCAGACAAGAATGGTGGAGTGATTTGTCATTTCTTTTCCAGGGGATCTTCCAGACCAGGGATGGAACCTGCATCTCCTATATTGGCAGGTGGATTCTTTACCACTGCTGACTTGCCTTGTTTCTAATTTCTTCTAATTCAGTAGATTGTCAAAAATATCATCTAATATTTTATCTCATTAAAGTCAAATAATCAAATGTCTCTAATAGCTTTCCATAAACTGTCTTCTTTACTTTTTGGGAAATTACCTAGATCCTGTCATTGATGTAGGAATCCTCAGAATCTAAAATAGTGAGATAATTTTGCAGGGAAGTCATTATTAAAGAGAAATCAACATGAAAAAGAAAATAAATAAAATATATCTTATTTATAAAGCAAGCAGGAATAAATATAGATCATTTTAGACCCTGACTTGTAGACATATGATGAATGTTTGTAGGCAAGAAGTACATCGAAAGTATATAAAGGACAGAGTTTCTTTTCCATCACATAAGAAATATCAAGGCTCTTACAACAGTCTTCTCATGACTAGAATCATAGTACAAAGTCAAACAAAGACACATCCTACTCTAGGAATTATACTTTATTCTCATCTTTCCTTTCCCTGACTGTTACAGTGAGGTGATGAGTTCCAGCTTGCCATGTGAAGGAGGTTGGGAGATGAGAGAAAGGAGAAAAAACTTATTTTAAAAGATGAGCTATTTGCAACAACATGAATAGACCTTGAGGGCATTATGCTAAATGAAATAATTCAGACAGAGAAAGACAAGTGGGGTATGATCTCACAAGTGGAATCTTGAAAAACAAAACAAAACCAAACTTGTAGATACAGAGAGCAGATTGGTGGTTTCAGAGGGAGGTGGGCAAAATGGGTGCAGGGCGGGTCAAAGTTACAAACGTCCAGTTATAAAATAAATAAGCCTTGGAGATGTAATGTGCAGCATGGTGACTGTAGTTAATAATATAGTACTGCATATCTGAAAGTTGCTGAGAGTAGATTTTTTTTTTAATTAATTATTTATTTATTTTTGACTGTGCTGGCTGCTCATTGCCGTGTGGGCTTTCTCTAGTTGTGGGGAGCAGGGCTTACTCTCTAGTTGCAGTGCGTGGGCTTCTCATTGCAGTGACTTCTTTTGTTGGGGAGCACAGGCTCTAGGGCATGCGGGCTTCAGTAGTCGTGGCTCATGGGCTCAGCAGTCGCAGTTGCCAGGCTTTAGAGTACAGGCTCAATAGTCGTGGTGCACTGGACGTAGTTGCTGCAAGGCATGTGGGGTATTCCTGGACCAGGGATCAAATCTGCATTTCCTGCATTGGCAGGCAGATTCTTAACCACTGAACCACCAGGAAACCCCGAATAGACTTTTTCTTTTCTAACAACATTTAACAGTTTATTGAGTCCTAGAGAATAACTGGATAGTTAATTTCACACGTTTTTGGTGAAGTCTGAAAGGATGAATGTATACGTGCTCAGTCGCTCAATCATGTCTGATTCTTTATGACCCTATGGACCATAGCCCATCAGGCTCTTCACTCCATGGGATTCTCCAGGCAAGAATACTGGAGTGGGTTGCCATGCCCTCCTCCAGGGTGTGTTCCTGACCCAGCAATCGAACCATGCCAAGAGTAGATCTTCAATGTTCTTATCATAAGAAAAAAAAAGTTTGCAGCTTGTAAGGTGACAGGTGTTGACTAGACTTTTGTGGTGATCATTTCACAATGTTTACATATTTCTAATCATTATGTTGTACACCTGAAACAATATAATGTTAGATAGTCAGTTATATCACAATTAAAAAAACAAAAACAAACCATTTCCTGATTAGTTATCTGATCACACCTTCAACATCTCAGCCCACTTCCCTATACTCACTTCTTTCTAGTTTTGTTGATTCTTCTCTGTGAAACACCATTTTCTGTGTGACCTTTGAGATGCTTATAGATGCCATGCATGGAGCCTTCGTCCTTGCAAATAGTCTCCCTTTCCCAGTTATATTCATCCCCCACCACGGCAATAATCTTTTCAAATAGTCTCTCTCTCACACACACAAAAAAGTCCTGTTGGAAATCTTGGGTCAGTATCTGAATAAGGTAAAAAAGCAATAAAACTGTCTATGCTGGCATTAATAACATTTGAAAAGATGCAGATCACGAGGTTGGTTCTGATCACTAGAAAACATAGGGTGCACATCTGTGTATGGAACTAAACAGAGATGTCTAGCTACACATGTATAATTCTGGGCTATGTTTGATGAAAGCATTGTTAAGCCCAGGAAGCCCAGAGTTCTGCTTGTTCAGATGTGCCTGGTGTAGGAGGGGACTCAGGGAGCAAGTGACACTACCTGTAAAGTTAGAAGTATGTCCAGGCATCCAGAGAGACTGCCAGTTAGAGACTCTGATACTGATCAAAAGAAATCTGGAAGAAACAACTGCTGAGAAAGAGGCTGCTGAGGCTCTTTTCTAATCCATGTTTCAGAGGGTAGGTGACAAGTACCTCCTTCTCTATGGGAAAGCAGAGTCTAGGATGTGTAACCCTTCTTAGGCACTGAATGGACAGTTTAAGAGATGCATATTTATCCATGCAAACAAACAAGGTAATGTCTTAAAGATGCTACATAATTTGAAACATGTTGAAGACAGTTTTTGAAAGAATGTTTGATTTGATAAATTCTAACAAAAAAGGAGCACCTTTAAGTGGGGCTGAGGTAGAACAATGTTTTTTACTTTGTCTTCCTATGTTTCTCCAGGGTCACAGAAAAGTTGTCTTTTAAAGGAATACATCATAGCTTTTTCTATGACTTCTTAAACTAAGATGGTACAATTACTTCTGAGGAGTCTCATAATAGTCTCAAGTACTAAGATAAAAATGAATTTCTATTGCTGCTTGTACCTAACTATATAATGGCATTTATAACCCTAGTAAAGACAGCACGACAGAAGAGGCCCTTGTTAAAATGTAGATAAATTGCCTGACTGTTCTTGAATACATGTATTCCATGATAGTAAAAGAAAATCGTGAATCATTTTCTTATACAGGCATACTTTTTAACATTTTGAAAGGTTTGCTTTTTCTTTGTAAAATGTCAGTTTTTTAAATAACTGTAAAGCTGCTTTTTCATTGCTGTCACTCATAATAATTTGCAGAGTCAAATAATTACCCAGTTTGATACTGCTTCTTAGATCTAGGAAACAAAAGTTGCAAGTCATTCATGTTCTAAGATGTTACAACTCTAAGAGCCTTGATAATTTTTTCCTAAAATTGAAATTGGTTAAAAAGTTTAGGGATCAGTTGGAAATTTGGAGATCAAATGACTAAAACAATTTACGTGACCAGTGACTTTAGGTGCAGGAGATGAAATGCAGGACAGACCAGCACCTCTGCGGCCAGTGTGCTAGACAGGCAGTGTGCCTGCCAGTTCAAGAACCCCTTCTGAGAAAAGTGCCAAATACAGGATGAATCTTATGCCCATATGGCTATTTGGTAATGTGATTACCCACCATCTTGGCAGGTGCTTTATCCAAGCTGGAGGTGACCCAGAAGTTGAGCTGGTTCAGTAAATGTGGGGTTATATCTTGGCCAGTGATTGTCTGACCCGGTCAACCCTTCAACCTGCACTCCTGACTTGCTGAATCAGACACTGAATCAGCAATCTGTCTTAACAAGCTCTCCAGGTGATTCTGACGCATGCTAAATTTGAGAACCACTGCTCAGGACTCTGAAGCACAGAGGAGGGGTATTTAATTTATCGAGGGTAGTCCAGGATGGCTTCTGGAGTGGACAGTCATTAATTGGGACAGAAATACAGCAGGGGGAGAAACTTGGAAAGAGTGTTCTAAAAAGTGCAAGCAATTTAAGAAAAAGTATCATGGGAATTGTTGCATAAAAGATGTTATGAGAATAGCATATAAAGCACGGACATGGAGGGAAAGACGGAAGGTTGTAGGTCAACTTGCTGTGAGCCTTGTACACCTAATACAAATTCTGGCATCTTTGATGAGCCACTTAAATATGAAGTCGGTATTTTATAAAGAGGCCAGAGAGGACACTGTGGTAAAAAGTAAGACATGGTTGAGTTATAAAAGAGACAATAGACTCAATAGCACCTTATGAGGTATAATTACCAGGGTTTGGCACTTGCTTGAAAGAAGCAGGGAGAGAATAATAGGATGACTACCAGCTTTCTAGAATGGGTGAGGAGAGGGCGGCACTGTTACCAAATGAGTTACGATCCGTAGGAGGAGAATGTGTACGTGTGTTCAGGCAGGTTGAGTTTGAGTTGCTACAGGACAACCAAGAGGATGTTGTTATTCATTTCTAAATTAAATATTCACATCTGAAGTCCTAAAGAAGGACCAGGCTTAAGGTCGAGCAGTACATATGGTTATTAAAACCAGAAGAATGGATAAAATTCCTCTGGGGTACAGTGTGAAACTATAGAAGTTTTGTTTTCCTTAACTATTAATACTAACCTCTTCATAATCTATACAAACTATTGATCCCTTTTTCAGAGAAATTCATTCACAGGTTAAAACTTTGCATACAATGCCTGGATTCAAGGGCTTCTGAAAGCTCGCGTGCCATGCCCAGGGATCCAAGTGGATGCTTGGATGTAAAATTTCAGTTGCCTTAGCAATGGTGATTAAAATAGTACCAGCCCATAGTATATGTTGTGCTTCATGGGCCCTGATGGGGCTTCATGGGCTCAGCAGGTACAGAGTCTGCCTGCAAGGCAGGAGACCTGGGTTCGATTGATATGCTAGATAACACAATCAGGAAAATAAGTGCTTATTATTTCAAGCCTCCAAAAACCAACCTAAATTCTCTCATTTTAATTTCTCTCTCTCATTCGCCTCTTTCTTTACTCTCTTCATGAAACACATACTGTTCCCTTTAGGGAAGAACAAGCAAAGTAAAGCAAAATAAGTCTTTCTGGCCTTGCAATCCATACCCCTTTGACCTGCATGCTGCCACTGGCTTTGTTTCCTTTTTTTTTTAATTAAAAAAAAATTTATACAATTTTAAAGGTTGCTTTCCATTTCCAGTTAATACAAAATACTTACTGAATTTCCTGTGTTGTGCAGTACATCCTTGGGCCCATCTTATACCCAGTACTTTGTACCTCCCACCTTCTCTTGGCAAACACTAGTTTGTCCTCTGTGTCTGTGTGTCTCCTTTTTCATTGTATTCACTAGTTTGTTGTACTTTTTAGATTCCCCATATAAATATTATACAATATTTGTCTTTCTCTGTCTGACTTATTTCACTTAAGCATAAGGCCCTCCAGGTCCATCCATGTTGCTGCAAATGGCAACATTTTGTTCTCTTTTAAGGGTTTTGTTTCTTACGAATCAAAATCAGGGACTCCTATTGTCCACTACAGGATCTCCCACAGAATACTGGGGAAGAGCCATGGTCAAGTCATGCTTTTTGAAGTCATGCTTTTGAATTATACGGCCTCAGCTTTTGTATCTTAACTTCCAGAATCCAGTTTTCTCAGTTATAAGGGTTAATGATGTCTATTTTGCAGAATAGCATCAAGATTAAAAGAATGTAGATTTTGCAGAGACATTAATCAGAATCTTCCCCTAGATCCTGATCAATGCAAGAGTCTGAGGGACATGTCTGTAAAGAATGATTAAATATTATTAGGCTGCTAAAATATCCCAGGACTTTTAACTAGATGAAGGAAAAAAAAAAATTTACCAGCTCTCTCTTCTCAGAGAACATGCTTGCCTGTGGTTGGAAGAAAATACTTTGATAAGCTGCAGTGGAGTGTGAGGTGAGATGCCTCCTACCCCCAAGGAGCATTTTGAGTAAAAACAGATGGTCCTTAAACTGAGTCCCTGGGAGGGCGGGTTCAATGTAAAAGGGAGCTTTACTGTGTTCTGTAGGTTATGCAGAACTGAGCCATCTCCCACCCCTGCCTGACTCTAACCTTCCCCATTCTGTCCCATGTAGCTCAGAGCCTCTTCTCTAAATAAAATTTAAATGTTTTTAAAATAGTCAATTAATATTCTGCAAATTTGATGACTGTCCTGCATCCCTGAATGTTTGTTCCTATATCTTAGTGTGGCTAAGATGGGGGTTCGTTGTGAGGGTACAATTAGGATTGTGTCATGCTTCTCGGAAGTCTTATTACATTTTAGAGCTAGGGTTTGCTTTAATTTTGTTTTGAATCTCAGCAGAATGGACTCCATGTTCCTAGAAAGTTACAGGTCTGAGGAAGCTTGTGGGGGCTGACACAAGATAGGGGCAGGATTTGGGTGTGCTAAGGCAGTCTTGTTTGTGAGTGGTATTTTTTTTTTACATTTCTGAGTATTTTTTTTCCCCCTTGAGAAAATAATTTCAGAGTTTAAATTGTGTGAAAACTCACTTGAAAAATTTGTGAGGTTTACACTATTGCAGAAGAGATAAAACCATGTTTCTCAATGTATCTCTATGATTTCACATATCTATATTTCAGTTTTAGAATATTATTGAGTTTTTCCCCTCCAGGAAATTCAGCTCCTTTCCCTCCACACCACCATCCCCCCCATCCCCATGTCTCACTTATTCTAGTTTCCTCTGCAATAAATAAATAACAAAACTCCACTTCTACTTTGAGATTATGTGGCAAATGTATGAAACTGCAAAGTGAAATGTCATGGTTTGCATTTTTAAAACTATGTTCTGATTTTTCATTAGCTTTTTTCTGCAGTTTATGGTTCCCTTTAAAGTAAGGGCACTAACATTTTACCAGTTACTTTCATGTTCAACCTGTCCTCCCACTCGTAATCTAACCCCGTTTTATGTCTGACCAACCCCTTTGGCTGTGATGGAGGGACAGGCAGGACATTCCACTCTCCATGTGGAAATCCAGGCCCCCAGTGGTATGCACAAGTCATAGATAGAAACTTACATTTTGAGGATGACCAATGGATGTTAAAAAATAAGATATTTCTTGATTACTATTTTTTTAAGTAAAGGTGAATATGTTTCATTTTGGGAAAGGAGCATCGATAGGTTTCAAAACAGATTTACTACACTTATTATAGCTTCACTACAAAAGATGACAGACCACTTAGTATAAAATGGAGCTTAAATCTTTGGTGATCAGAACACCATATCAGGGGAAATCTGTCCTGAAATGTGTACTATTAAGCTCTCTCACAAATCACTGTGAAGATGAGAGCTTCAAGGAAGATAAGACGAATTGTAACAGATTGCCTATAAATTTATTACACTCTTAACATTCAAAGTATGTTGAATTAACTTTAGAACTTTATTGGATCAGTGTCTATGAAAATAGGTACTGTGGGCCAATATGCTCTCCTTTTAATTATGGAAGGCATATAATTTAGGGAGATAAAAGTGAATTCTAGAAGCTCTGTTTATTGGTTATTGGTCACAAACTTCCTATTTTATTAAAATTTGCTTGTAAGAAAAAGAGAAGCCACTCCATAGGACAGATTTATTGCCCTAATTGAATCTTTTTATTTTTTTCATCCAAGTTAAGTACTTTGTTGAATTTCCAAGGGTAAATAAATTTGGAGGTCTTGGTAAAAGGGGACATGGTGAACAGTGATGGTCCATAGCAGTGAGGAAGGATGGGAAAAATAAAGGACAGAGAGCAAAATGAAAAAGTACTGTTATTTTTAGCCAATTTATAAGAATTGGTGAAATTTTCTCTCAAGTACCATACATACACACAAGTGCACTGCACAACCAAACAATCCAGTGGTTTCCATTAAAACTGGAAGTTAGAACCATAGCTAATTGGCTATGTAAGCACAAGAAATCAGAAAGGTTAATGGATTCCATAGTCATCAACCAACCTCCTGCTTTGGATCCCAGACCAGGGGGGCATGGTTTAAACATGTGAAATAAATGCAGAGATTACATAATGCAGCTTTAAATTGTAGTCATTTTAAACAGACCACTGCTATTTAGTAAAATCTTGTGTGTGTGTGTGTGTGTGTGTGTGTGTGTGTGTCTAAGGAGCATGTGGTTTGAGGAAGTATGATTTATGTGATCTGGGAAAATCCTTACATATGAATTCCATCCCTCTTTATCAAGGAAATATCCTGATTGTGGCAGCTACCTGCTTAAGCTGTATTCTATTACCAGTCTCCGATCTGCATCTCTGCGTTGCTTGTCTGACATCCTAGCACAGTAAATAATAACAGGAAGCCATTAAAATAACTGTTTATAGTTAAATCTTTGTTGGTCACACAAGAGAGGTTTTGGTTGCTGTATGGGAATAATTGTTTCCGTTGTACACTTTGAATATGACCAGAGCCTTTGTGAGACCTGCTGTACTGAATGTAGCCTTTTGTTCTAGGAGGAAAAGTTCCAGTTCACAGAACAGCCTGGATTGTCAAGAAAAGTTACTAAAAGAACCTAGTTCTTCATTTCTCTGATCTTTCTCTTATGAAACTTATCAGTGCTATACATATTCAGGGAAATGTCTTAGTGAAAAAGAGGAGACATAAAGCTCCTCCAAAAGATCAGTGGTTATTAGACAAAAGCATGGGTCAAATAAAATGGAATGAATGACACTGAGGTATAAGTATCAGAAAATAGCAAGCTTCAGACTGTTGAAAGTTTCTTTTTGTCTTTTTAAAGTTACTATATATACAAAATAAAACTAAATTAGTCCTCTGTTCCTTGGTTTCAATAACAATAAAACAAAAGGGCATATACTGGGTTTGCCTTGGTTGCTATATTGTTTTTCAAGATTTAGAGTCTTCTCAAACACAGTATTCCTCATTTTTCCAGAGGTTTGGAACTATATATTAGTTTCCAGAAAATTTATTATACTATGTCAGTTCCATAAAATGCAAGTCTTTTTTGAGATGGCTTGTTTACTACAACTTCAGGAATACACATATTCCTGAAGTTGTAGTATATATATATATATGTACATTGTTGTTTACTTGCTAAGTCCCATCTTACTCTTTTGCGACCCCATGAACTACAGTCTTTCAGGCTCCTCTATCCATGGGATTTCCCAGGCAAGAATACTGGAGTGGGTTGCCGTTTCCTTTGCCCTATATTTCTTTTAAAAACGCTAATTTCAATACTTTATAATTAAGATACAAATATGCTAGTTTTTAACATTATAAAAATGATCTATTTTACATATATTCATATGTGTATACCTATATATGTCTACAAATGTTAAATTTATAGTTTATGAATGACCATATTGTATTTTAGAATTTTCCTTGTAGTTTTATAATTTGAGCTTATATTTTTTTCATAGATAAAATTTTAGTGCTGTTTAACTCTTGAAAATCAGAACATCAAATCCTATTCAATCCAAAGTGCCCATGAAAAGGAGTATTAATAATGTCCTGTGACCTACGCTGCTTTATCAAAAATGTGTTCCTAGTTACAGCTTAAGATTCAGGACCCTGTTTTTGTGTATTCTCTTACTCCTGATGATATCAACAGTTCAAAAGTTTGGGTGGGGTGGAAGGGGACAAACACTGAGGATGAATAATTTCCTATGTGTCTATTTGCCATATTTCCAGACAAATTCTTCCTTAATTTTCTGTATTGGAATGGACTGGCATTTGGAAGGGAATTGAACCGCAATATAGGAAATTTTAAGTTGATCAGTTCCAATCTCTTGCTATCCATCCACCATTTATCCATATAATTAATGTATTTTTTTAACTTTATGTTGTTTGTGCTTAGATTGTGAATCTTTCCAAAAAAAGTGCCAGTTGTTCAATATATGAAAGAATTTCATCTCTCAAAGTGATTTCAACTTTCTTCTAGCCCTTACAGTTTTGGTTGAAGGAAGGTCTAAAATGAATTTGCCAACCTCTTCCATTTTGAAAGTTTAGAGTGGGGGAAATAGATAAAAAGCTAACAAACAAAGAAGCATTCTGAAGTTGAAGTAAGTTCTAATGTAAAAATTATTCTTTCCAGCCCCCAGGATGAAGACAAATTGCAGTTAGACATTGCAATGGAATAATTGCAAACATACTTCCTCTAAAACCGTTAAGTGGCTAAGATGATTTTCCAACTAAATATTTAGTCATAAGCATAAGCTTTCAAATTCATGTTTGACCTCTGTGTCTTTATCTAATTACTGCTTAATAAAACCTTACAAATTTGCTAAAAGTCTTTAAATGAATTTATTTTTTGATTTTTAAAGATGATATTTTTTCTGAAATTTTTGCTTGAGAATTGCTTAAAAGAACCAGTATTCCATGAAGCATAGTAGAATAAAATGAATTGACATTTTAAATAAAGAAACTTGCTTTTATATTCATGAAGCTACTTATACTATGGATTATTTTCACTTGCTTGAAATTCTGGCTTCCTTGATTTTCCCAGTGCAACACAATACAACCTTTCCTTGGTTCTCCTGCTACCTCTGGGACTTCACTTTTGTTTGTTTTTGTTTGGTTTCTTTTGTTCTCACTTCTTTTGTTCCCCCAGCCTTCCCTATTCTCTGTTTTCAATCTCTCCTTTTTTACCCCAACAGTTCAATTACTTCTGCTAAGATGATTTTGCAGCTTATGCATCTAGTCTTCTCTCTCCTACATTTCTTCCTGTCTGCTTAAACTCTTCACTTAACTCTTTCACAAGCACCATAAACGGAACATGTTCAGTTCAAACTCATGTAATTTTCTTTAAAAGCAATCCAGGCTTTTCCTCATAGTTTTGCCAATTCTACTAATAACAGTACCCTTTCCTCAGTCATCCAGGCTCCTCAAGCATTTCAGATGTCTCTTATTTTCTTCTAGTTCCTAAATCAGTCACCCAGTTGCCACATCCATCCTCTCTCTTCCATTTCTTCTGCCCTTCCCTTGTTTCAGGCAGTCAGACTGGATATGTAACAAAATTTAATTGTTGTATATTAAACAATTAAATGACTCTGCTTCCTGTCTGTCCCCACTCTGAAATACATCCTGCTGCTGCTGCTGCTAAATTGCTTCAGTCGTGTCCAACTCTGTGCGAACCCATAGACGGCAGCCCACCAGGCTCCCCCGTTCCTGGGATTCTCCAGGCAAGAACACTGGAGTGGGTTGCTATTTCTTTCTCCGAAATACATCCTACACACTCACAAATAAATCTTTCTAAATTGCAGCTTTAATTCTGTCGACTCTTACCCCAAATCCTTAAGAGCTTACCATTTTCTGTTTATTAAGTACAGTGTTCTCTTCCGTTCACTCAAGTCTATCCAGATGTGGTCCTGCCACTTGTGCTTCCTCTCATAGGAATCTACACCTCGGTTGTGGTTGGCATTCCTGGGACAAACTGTGATTTCCTCTGTTTGTGCCTTCATAAGTGCTCTTCCTTTCACGGAGAACATCCTACCCTGTCATCTGTGTCAACTCATCAACATACCACCTGGTCTTCAAATGCGAGTCATGCACCCGAACCAGGTGACATTCCTTCCATTTCTTGTATCTTTTTGCCTCGCATAACGCTGTTTGTCTGTTTTCAGTGGGTCCTTTTTGTTGCTGTTCAGTCACCAAGTAGTGTCCGACTCTTTGTGACCCATGGACTGCAGCATGCCCGGCCTCCCTGTCACCATCTCCCAGGATTTGCCCAAGTTCATGTCCATTGAATCAGTGATGCCGTCCAACCATCTCATTCTCAGTAGGCCCTACCTTATTCCACTTTGTACTTCAGCTATTCAAAGATGTGTTTATTTGAGTTTAACACATTTTTGGTTACTCACATGTGAAATACAATGAAACATGTCCATTACAGGGGAAGGTCTCTGAGGAAAGGGACTGCTGTATTCATATTTGTCTTTTATGTAGCACATTGACAGGTGCCTAGGCGGTAGTAGATGTCTTAATTACCACTGGCTTTTCTGAGTTGCGAAAAAAAGACACCGATAACATTTAGTACATCCACACTTATACATACATTTGCCCAGCAGTTGAGATATTTTAGAAAATACTCCAAGATGTAAGTTCTTAGGAATATTGTCTTTCAGAATCTAGTAAGTCAAAATGGCTCATTTTCTTTCTTTTTTGTTCAGTAAATTGGAAATAAAACTGATCTTGCTATTTATATCCAGGGGCAATTTATGCCTCTGTATGCAGAGACTTGTGAAAATACAAAAGAGATTATTGTTATCATTATTTTGCTCTTTTCTTTATATTTGTCTTGGATTAGATCACTTGGCTTCATTTTCTTATCTACAAATTAGGGAACAATATTATCAACTTCAGGACTTCCCTGGTGGCTTAGCAGTAAAGAATCCACCTGCAATGCAGGAGACACAGGTTTGATCCCTGGGTCAGGAAGATCCCCTGGAGGAGACGAAATGGCAACCCACTCCAGGATTCTTTCCTGGAATATCCAATGGACAGAGGAACCTGGCAGGCTACAGTCCCTAGGATCACAAAGGTTCAGACACGACTGAAGCGACTGACCACACACACATTACCAACTTCATGTGGTGGTTGTGAGAATTGCTTGAATTAATGCATGTAAAGCACTGAGAACAGTCTCTAGCATAGAGTAAACACCTGATAGCCTTTAGCTCATATTATCAATCAGTTACAAGCAAGGCTGCTGCTTTCACGGGAAGCACTCCCAGAACAGCTGGAATGGATGCCTCTGGAGCAGGTACAGATTTCCCCTGCACACATATCTTTGTCTAACTCCCCCTTGGATGCTGCATATCTGGGTAATTGGAACTAAAGTGAACTGTGCCTGTTTCCTCTCTTTCACCTAATATATCCATCATCACTTCTGAGAAAACGTGACTGTCTATGTCTAGATGGGGAATTCTCATGCCTTTCAGTTCTATTTTGAAGTGAATCAGATTCTATATTGATTGCTTATTTAAGACTACAGTATGTTAGTTTCATAAAATGTAATCTTCATAAGAAGAAGGGACTGAGCCTGATTTATCACTGTACCTCAGCCATGACATTCTGCCTTATGTATCATAGGTGCTCAAATTCTTGAATGAATGTAGTTAAATGACTAAGATGATTTTTTTCTGACCTTTAGAAGATATCCTATACATGAACTCCTTCTCTTGAGGGCAATTAAGCTACAGCTTTTATTACAAATATAAATTACCCCTTATTCTATATTAATAGCTTCTTTGCAATAGCCTAGTGAAATATTTCTATTTATTTTTCTTATATGTGAACCCTCAATATAAGAAATTGGGTGTAAAATCTTGTTAATATATAATAGTGTTAGAAGCATTCCATGTCACCTACTTGAAAATAATCTTATATGATTAAATAATATTTAGCAGGTGCTTACTATGTGCCAGACACTGTTCTAAATGTTCTGAAAAATAAAATATGCATTTTCCTATGTGTAACATGATATCATAGATTGAATATTGGAATGGAAAAAAGACATTAGTGGAAAAACTGGTGAAATATAAATAATGTCTGAAATTTAGTTAATTGCAACATATCAATGTTGATTTCTCAGATTTTGACAAATATACCATGGAATGTAAGAGGATAATATCAGAGGAAACTGGATAAGGATTATACAAGAACTTTCTGTATACTCT